TAGGTCTGCAGCTTCTAGCCGAATGGGCAGTTCAGATAAATAGGGATTTCTTTAGGGGTAGATAGGGGCATGCAACTGCGGGTTTCTTAGTTTTATTCGTGCAAATGGAAAGGTTTTCTAGAAGTCGAAGTCTAGAGGTCACCATACATATTTCAGTTAGGAGTCAGTTTCGGCTGTCGATATTCTTCGTTTGTCGGCTCGGGGTTTATCGAATGTTTGTCATCTGAGAGTTGGTCGGGGAAGTGTTGTCCCGCGAATCGAACGCAGTTAGCTCTCACCTTTCTTTCAAATAGAGGGTTACTGTATGACAGGTTACGCTGTTTACCTCACATTTGAGTATCTCACTCTGTCGGGTTCCGTAAGTGAAAGTGCTGTAATTTTGATGGAAAGTTCTGCGAAGCAGCATTTGAAAACAGGTCTGGTGATGGGCGCTCTTGTGGAGAAAAAAGTGGGCACGAAATGATGCAACATCAACTGTGTCGAAAAACGAACTTACACGCAGTGTTAGGTTATGGCAAATTGGTTGCATTTTGGGGATAATCATAGGAGTGTTCCGGTCTTTGAACGATGCGCGAGGTTAGCACGTTTGGAGAGAAATTTGACTAACATAGACTTAGAAGGGATCATCTGATGAGACTCTGCTGTTGCGCAGTGCTCTCCGAAGTTTCTTGAGGCTGGATGTACGAATAACCTGGAAAACAAATGTCTCCTCCTCAATGTAAAGATCCTAATTGCTTTGTTCTGTCTTCTTCGGGTGTAACGGTGTCTGCTGTGCAAAACAAGATGGGATTTTCCTATTGTTTCTGCAAGGGGGAAAGTGGTGTAGTGGCAAGTGGCACGCTTACCACGCGAGCGGTCCGGGGATCAAATCCTGGGTCGTGAGTCGCCCGGGCCAACCAAGCCTTCCATCCCTCCGGGGTCGGTTAATTGGTACCAGACTTGTCTGGGAGGATAAAAACACTGACTTGTACATCGGCTGGCCCCCGCAAGTCATTGTATAGGCCACATCGCATTCAAACGCCACTACGAATGTACAAATGGAAGTAGAGTACGTGCCGCATCCCAAGACGAGATTGATCAACGGCAAATGCTTTATCCTTTATTTATTCTGCAAGCAAATATACTCTGTGTGTAAATGTAGAGCAAAATCGTATACCATTATACATACCAGCAATTGTTAGGGGCTATCGCAAGATACGGGGGCATTCTCAAGGAATGACTCAGGAGAGGGTAGGAATTCAGGGGAATGAAAATTGCTCACGCACCCTGGAATCTCTCCTCTCCCGTCCAAGGCTCAGCCTCGATGTGAAGAAGAGGAGATGTTTTACGCGGTCCTGGATACACTGCCACCACAATGCCCCCGTATCTCGCGATAGCGGCAATTGTTATTTTATGTTATTTTATATAAAATTACTGCTATGTTATTACTGTTTTGGTTGTTTATATCCGTTGGCTTTGCTACAGATGGATATGTTTCAAAGTAAGAGAGTGTTGATGTGCGTGAAAATGCAGTCCGTACTGCTTTCGCCTCAGTTGTATCATTGGTTTTGTAACTGGCCGTTTTTCAGTCAGTTATTGTTTACGCGCTCTGTACAAAAAGCGCTAGTTGGCGCAAAATGAAGTACAGTACAAAGTGAATAACACTTCTGGTAAGAGCAAGACGAAGATGTGTGAATTCGCCGACGGCGTCAAAACCTGATTGGTGAATCTGGTCTTGTATAGAGATGTACTTGAAGTGGAGTAGGCTATTCATTGCGCTCTTTTCATCTGCCTTGAGTAAATTGCGGATGCGAGCTCCGATAGTGCGTGCTTGTTGAAGGGTTTCTCCGATTGCAATTAATTGCTGCTTATTATTAATTGAGTTACGCCAGAAATTGTATATAATGTATACGATGATGAGCGTAGACATTGTCGATCTTTGAACAGAGGAGTGTTTGTGCGTATCGTTGGACGGATTCATATTGTTTATTCAGTTGAGTCGTAGATGGAGGACGGACGAGTCTATATGGTACGGCACTCACCCGACGTCTTTGTTTCTTCTTCTCCACTTGCGTGAATTGCTTCCAGATGTCGTTGCGCTTTTTGAGTGGGCGCCGCTGCCGTCAAAATGACTCCGTCACGGCCAGACAGGCGCATACGCTTCGTAATTGCAAATTCATCTGGTCGTGGAAAGGTTCAAGAGCGATTGTCGTCCATCCATTTGTGAGAGACGCACGGATTCTGGGTCAGTACTGGATCGTCTCCGAGTTCATTTCATGATGCCCTACTAAATCTCTGGCGTTTAATAATAACAACTCATGAAGTTCTCAATTCCTAGTTGAAGAGGAGAACAGGTTTCGTGTTTTACTGTGAGCAATTATTATCGATCGGTGCGACATCGTTGTTGTCGTGATGATTGTGAGATGCAGACATGGGTTATGGATGCGAGATGCCGCATGTGTATGCGTGCAGCTACGTGAGTGTTTCACAGTTGGCTGGTTACCAAAAGTATATCAACGACGATTGAGTTAGGCGCTGTTTACCCACGCCAAGCAAGGCAATTCCACTGTGGTTGCCGCGCTTACTCACGAAGATTCTGGAACGTTTTAGGCTAAGTGATTGGTCGTGGAATTATTCCAGTCTACCTTACCTCTGCCCCCATCTGTACTGAGCATTGCTCTGAATTTCGTTCAGCGCTATAGGTTCATCCATGCATTGCCCGTAATGTAATTGTGGTTGCACATGCCCTGCTGTCATCAATGCCCGTTGATTCTGGAGCCTAAGTGAGCTTAGCACAACCCAGTGGGGAGGTTCTTTACGAAATGTGTCATAGTATCGTCCTGCACGTCGTGTACGTCTTTGAAAAGTACTTTCTCTGTTTGAGTGAGCGGCTGTGACATACATGCGTTTTTGGATGGAGGAATCTTATGAAATCGACGGACTCAACCCACTTTCAAATCGTCGTATTGATTCACGCGGTTATTCGCACGGAAAGTAACGAATGCAATTCTTGATTTTTTTCTCTAGAAGTTTACGATCTTTTTTTTACGGAGCCACATTTTAAACGTGGTAATTCGTCATTCTGGTGCAGATGAACTGACAACATCTCTAATGGATAGGGCAGGTGTGTTGCCGAACGTCGTACGTCCGCCGTTGTCGACCTACGAGGTGAGTGCCGTCTGTCTGGTGGTCGGGCGATCGGCCATCCGGCCGCCTGTTACGTATTCACAGTGCCCCTTCTTGCTCTCGATCGTTCTTCCGTTTTTCAGCAATAGCATGAAATTCGATCAGGATTCAAAGCACCATTCCCACAACGTTTGCAGTTGCGAGTTTCCCAGCTTCTCAATCGTTTTTCTTCAATTATCATCTTCCCTTGTACTTCACAGTTGAGATTCGTGTATTTTCCTCTAAAATTTTCACCCTCTCCAAGTCTAGAGAACTGCTGGATTAACCATAATGCATGGACGTGTCTGCATCCGAGTCCTGCTCGGTTGTGCATTATTTTGTTAGATCAGCATCTCACATTCCTACGCTGAGGCACTGTAGCAAATTGAAGTTCGAAAGCAATTGGTTCATTTCCTGTTACTAAAATCCCATTCCATACAGGCGCTGAATTGCAACTTCCGTTCACCAGAGAGCAATGTTGCAGTAGGAGCTTGAATTTATAAGGGACCGTGTACTACAAAGGACCTGCTGATGATGACTGTAAGGAACTGGCTGCCTTTTGAGCAGGTGACGGCAACGGAAAGTTCTTTGTCACAGGTTATTAGTGTTTTGACTTCAAAGCACATCTTGGCGCGCTCTTAACTGCTGTAGCGATTGTAAGAGATTGATTTTCACTGGATATGGTCAGGTTCTTCACTTGCTGCCGCAATAGCTGCGTCTGCTGTTAGTTTCTAATGATTCTTACCGTGTTCATGTCCTACGTGACTTTTTGTACGATGCGTTCTCCACCGTAACACCGCGAAGGGTCACTTGAACACTTGGACAGGAGGCGACCAAATAAGGATTTATGTTCGCTTGGCTGCAAGTTGAAGACATGCGAGACGCAGCGAGGCTGACGTTTCTCAGTGCGGCTGCTGCAAGAGCCCGATCCATTGCAGCATATTAGGAATGCGAGCTGTAGCACTGAAGATTAGCCGAACCAAAACGCCTCAGTTAATGGAAAAGACGCGTGAAGATTATCGCAGTTCACCGTCGCCGAGCCCGATTGTGGCAGCTCTAGCCGGTCGAGAATCATATTCGACAAGCCGCAGCAACAGCCAAACCCACTCTCGAGCTCTCGGCGGTGATTTCCTACGCTCGCTCTCTGACCGTTGTTGTGTCAAGGGGTGGAGCTTCTCTCGCCTCTCTGCGCCCTGCCCACTTGCCCGCCTCGCCGTCGTTAGTTATGCAGGCCGCACCTCTTCGTTCTGCCCCTTCTGGAACTAACTCATATACATATATAGCATTGAAACCCTGCCTGGCTGACCATATCCTTTGGAAGCTACGGTCGCTTTTTCATAAACCCTAATGCACGAGAAAAGCGTTAAGAGGCCTAGATTGAGGTGACCTATATACCTCATGGTCTGTGTGTGTGTGTGAGCGCTAACCGGTGACACTGCAGATTTTCTCCTCGCATCCACAGACTACCCATCATCCTTTTCCCCGATCCCTGCAGAAACCTTCGAATGGCTGTTTGGAAGGTGATACAAAGATGTAGTTAGTATTTATTTCTCTGTCTTCAAATCTCCGTTGGCCCGAATGCCATTCTTTCAAGAAAGTTCATGTTTTAAAGAGGCGCCAGGAGCTTATTACGTGTGTATTGAATGAAACGCTCTCATAGACGTATAGGCTTAGAGCAGTTCAAGAGGTAACTGCAAGCGGAGCAAGATTCTTGCCGTTGTGCTTTCATTGCTCACTTTCTTTTGAATAATTCTCGATACTTGACTTGATGTCGGTTCATTTTTCATGTTGAGTTTTCCTAATATTTTCCTTTTTCATGAATAGGTTCACAGTTAATAGTAAGCTTCTTCAGGCAAATGATGTGGACGCTGCGCACGGAGATCCTTCGGTACTGTGATCAGGTGTTGGAAGGAGTACCGACGCAAGATATGCTGGTTAGTTGCAGACTTTTGTTTCAAAGCCCAGCACAAAAAACTTCTCACAGCGGGGGATCGATCTCCATTTGGTGGGAGTATTCGAACAGTGTTTTCAAAAGCAGTTATTACTCAAAAAACTTCCCGTTAACGTGCAGAAGCTTTAGACTCTTGTGCAACAACTCAGCAACCGTTGCTAAGTTTTGCAGTTTTTTCATTGGGAGCATAGAACGTCGGTGAAATCATGGTGTGCTTTCGAATTTGCTATGAACCATTACTAATTCGTTAGCCTGGTACAACGGCTGGCACACTCTACATGCAAGCCTTGAAGCGTTTGCAGCCATAATTCTCGGTTTTTACTGGCCAGAGCTACAGAATCGTTGATGAAATGGGCGCTCGCCGACCACCCATGTGCATCATTACTGTTGTCATTACTTTTGGTGAAATCGCTTTATGTATATCATCGATCTTCTCTTGCTCACCGAGGAGTTCCCAGTGGCCAGAGAGGCGCTTATGCGACACATTTGTTCTAGTGCACATTTGATACGCTCATAACTGCCGACTTTTTTCTTTTCTGTTACGACGTGTCGTCGTAACAGGTGCTCAATCATGGCCTCATCCCGTCCTCAAATAGCCCTCACTAGTGGGGCTATCAGTTCTATGTTCGAATTCAATAACGATGACTTATTCTTCCTTGAACATTGCCAAGATTTAAGGCGAAAATTCTCAATGTGGCTCTTTTGACTTCACTACATGTGCTCAGGCGCGAGGCGTGCGTGCTGCTTCTGCCTAGCTGCCTGCTTTGCTATCTCTCATAATCCAGCCGCAGATCTTTAGCTTGCCTCGCTATAAAATTATGTGACGCAAGCGGCAAAGGGTAGTCTTGATTATGGGCTTCATTGAGCATTCATTCCCGAAACCCCCTTGTAAGCTATTTTTGTTGATCTTTCGCAAATTTGTTCCTGTTAATAAGCACTAGTACAGCAACAAGGAAGGAAATTTCAATGTTAATTATTTTGCAATGTTTACCACAGAACGCTGAGTTGAGGGCAAAACTCTCGCCCAGCCGGGATTCGTACCCGGATCTCTTGCTTTCCGGGCAATTGTGCTACCAGTTACACCACCGGGCACCATTTTGCCTCCAATTCAGCTTCGATGATGAAGTTCCATTATTCTACGATGAAGTTACGATGCTTTTATGCGTATTTACGCTCTATATTGAATCTTTAATGTAAAATGCGATGAGAAATTCTTCTGAACAATAAGCGCTCTGCACTTTTCTTATGTGACATTGCCTAAATCGCGATAATCGTTGCGATTAAGCCTGTTGAATCAAAGCTGTAAGAGTGCACAAAGAAATAGCGTCCCGTTATCTTGAAAAGCCATCTACACTTTGAGGCTTACAAAAATGACAGCGCAGAGTTTTGTTGATATTTCTGAACGGCCTGACTTTTTTACCACTCTAAACCGCTCAATTTCAGGTGATGATGGAGATGGAGCCCACAGATATAATGGAATTGGATTTAGCGCATCCTAACCAACATGAGGTTTGGTTTTTTCCTGGCTCTTTCTTCACCTTGGTTACTTTGAAGTGATGTGATTCTTAACTGCTGTGTTATAGGTAACTTTACAACAATTAGCGAACCTGAAACTAGCTGCAAAGCTGCTACACGATGAAAATGAAGCTGATCTGGATTTGGTCATCAAGCAGGTCATCACCGGCGGACAGGTAATTTCTTTCTTCGATTTCGTGGAAATCTGCTCGAAGGGTTAGTCGGTTGTGGGTAGATTTTACTACTTATTTTACATGAATCGCGCTGAAAGTTTGAAAAAAGCTCAGTACCTTTGTCAAGAATGTCGCCAAATTAACTCAAAATACTCAAAATTGAGAAAAGTACTAAAAGCGGTTGATAGGTGAGCACTTGTGTAACCTTGTGATCGTGGATCGTTATAGTGCCGTCGTAAGAGCGTTAAGTGGTCTTGGTGAGGAGAAATTACGGTACGGACAGTGGGGCGCTGATCGGCGATATGACGCGTTGATTGGCGTGAGATAGGTGTCAATTAGCGGCATATCTGCGCATCCAAGCATGCGATTGTTTGAATTTTGAAATAACAGTGCAAATTCACTTGTTAATCATTATTTGTGCACGTTCCCATTTGCACCTGTGTTCTTCTGCCGTTTTGTTGGTTTTTCGCACGATTGCTCTCAGCTGCATTCACGCTGTTAGTTTCCACAGTATGCGGGTAGAAATACTCAAGAGTACGCCCATAACTGCGAGTTTTTTTTTGACTTTCACAGCTGCTCTTTCTGCTTCACATCCCGATCCGGTCCCCAGGTCTCATTTTACGGGTTTCCAATCCCCGCTGTCGACTCGCCCCAGTTCACATTTGACTTCACCGGCGTGGTGGATATGCATGGCGTAATTGCCTTTGTGTAGTACAAAACCACCATGTTCGGATGGTCATCAACGAGTCGTAATCGGACGACGAGTACGGTAGTGGTATGTATTCAGGCTGAGCAGGTTTCCCACATGCGCCGACGACGAAGGTTCGTCGCCGATAATTGATTATCATTTGTGACGAGCATACGGTAACTGATATGGCGTGTTCCTAGTTTCAACGGTCTATATGAGTGGAAAGAGCGTACACTTGTCGTGTGCTGCTCACACTCACACTCACACACAACACTTATTGATCTCGCGTAATTTTACATGCTCACGGGTATGCAGCACGCGTGTAATCGTTCAGGGAGAATTGAGCAAGTCAGCTCGATAACTCGCATGAGCAGATGAAATTGTGGTGGAGCTACCTTTAAACTTATTTGAGTGGGAATATTAGTGTTGCGAGGCATGGGTAGCCCGAAGGTGTTGCGCCTACTTAGACCGGTGAGCACGTTGAGCCGCTGATGTGCTCACCTTTATATAAGCAACTGGGGCCAAACACCAAGAATTGTTCCCACAATGGTTGTCGTGTCTTTGTACGTGACTTGGTCAGAATAGCTTTGTTCAGTGGACGTATCCTCCTCATTGAATACGCGATGGCTGCGGCCTGCCGGCCCTTTTCGCCCTCGTTTCGGCATAAGAACGGACGCACACTGTGGGTAAACACTCAGTGCACTTGTCTGTCTCAGCAGCTTATAAAACGCTCCAACTTATTTGAAAAAATGAGCAAGCAACCGGCTTACATTCGAGAATTACAGGAATCCTCTTTGGATGCTAATTTTAAAAAGAGGATTTCCTGCCAATAGAGGAGAGAGGAGTGAGAGAACGCAACCATGTACTTACTTAACGACGGGAGAGCTTCATGTAACCACTCAGTGAACTTGCCCTTTGCTGTTTTGTTGAGGATTCATTCGAACACTGAGCACTTGTGCGTATGCTATACTTGCATGTTAGTTGAAGTCACGCAAAGGTTCTCGCAGCTCCGCCCAAGGATTCTGAAGAGACAAAAAGGACGCATGTTTTCTTGCATGATTTTTTTGAACTAAAATTTGTTTGATTAGAGTAAGTCTTCTTAAAGGCGAGGTACTCGTAGATTCGAGGACTTGGCGATTTTTGCATAATGGAGAAATATCTTGAAAAATTATTTTCACCGCTTATCAGATTCTGAAAGAGCACAGAATGAAAACAATAACAGCAGCAAAGAAGCGGAACACAAAAACGTTCGTGCTGAGCAGGAAAAAGCCTAGTCGATTTATTTATTTGACACTTGCTGGGAAAATTTCTCACCATATTGGTTTCCCACGTGATTGAGTGGATGCGTGGAGCTCTCGAGTTGAAATAGAGTGGGAAAGTGTGGCTGCTTTCAGTTGTGAATTTTTCCCTGTAAGAGGGTGTGGCGCCGTTTTCTGTCCGAAAAGTCCCGTGGCAGATAAGGTATTTTGATCCGTGTTGGAGTTTAATATCCCTTGAGTCGAATTTGAATTCTTCATTGTATGAGTCTTTCACAAGTGAACGGTGCCAAGTCGAAGGACTATCTGTAATGAGACGTGTACCATCCTATGTGTTTCCCTTACGCGCTGTCAGAACATAATTCTGTGCTAGTATCCCGTTCAAGCCAAGCAGATAGCAGGTGTTCTTTCATGGTGTAATGGTTATCGTGTAGATTTGGAGGTGCGTCTGGTTGTTTCCTGGTTCTTTTTTGGGTTATAAGTGGTCTTTAGATGTGGTATATCATTATTATTGCGTTGTTGGCCATCAATAATGTCGTTTTGATGAGTTTGAGATCATTGGGAGTATCTGAATAGGAATTTTTGGCACCTTGTACCCATAGCTACTCAATTGCTTCGATGACGGAGTCATAACTAAATTTTTCTGGGAATGTGTCTCTGAGTGATTTGACCACCTCTGCTTAAATATCACATTCGTTCATGGCAAAAAGGTTGCCACATGCCGGTGGTTGGAAGCTAAAAACAGCAATTCCAGTAAAAATATTGGGTCACCAAATTTAATAAAAATCTGGAAATAGGTAATTATTAGTATGCTGAGGATGAACAGCTGAGTCATCTCGTATGGAAACATGTATTCGCATTCTGTATAGGAACCACTGCAAGTCTGAATGATTGTTGTTTCGAAGAGGGCATGAGCGCGGCGGAGGCCGTAGCCCGCGCCAGTCGTTTTCGAACTGAGTAAATGTGGAAGACATGTTCAGGGGGGTCAGATTACTACTGGAGAAATATTTTGGACAGATCTCTTTTTGACACTCACATCGAAGAAATAGAGTAGCCATGGGTACAAGGTGACGGAAATGCGAATTCCTCGAAATTCTTCAAAATCAAACTTACTATTCGGCAACGACGTAATAATGTGGCAGACAACTTCTTAGTACAGAAAAAATCAAAGCGAGACGAAGTCGATGCTGCAGATCCGATGCGCTAACCCTATTCCATCCAGCCATTTTGGTTGCACGGGTGGTTTGGATGACTAAACTGCTTCTGGCTCTCGATTATGTTGAAACCCTCCGCAAAAACTTGAATAACTTCACAATAAGCTCGGTTTAACCTTTGGAAGACCGATTTAATATTGGTATCTGAAGGAACACCTGGGAATCATGAACGAAATCATTTCTCTCCAATATTTTCCCTTTGTGCCAATTCTTGCTGGTGATTGAATGAAGTCGGACGTATAGTTGCGATCGAAGGAACTTCTCCCTCATAGAAACTTCTTTACGTGCATTACGTCTTTTTTCTCGAGAGTATTGAAGATTAACTGAAGCTTTCTCCATTCAAATCTATTGAAACACCATTATTCATGTGTTCGAAAGTACTCACGTATACAGTGGCGCTCAAAAATGTTCCTCAGAACGGTTCTTCTAAAAAAAATACATTAACTGGA